TGACGGTGTGGTTGTCAATCCACTTAGGATCATTAGAAAAAAAACGGGAAGTGGGGGTGGAAACCCCAGCCGACCAAAGGTCACAGCATCCCTCTTAGCACTAGCCCACCCGCACAGACTGACAGAAGATTCAGACGAAGTTCAAGAGGGACCATCAAATGAACCGAACCAGAAGAACTAGACCCTAGGCTGGACCCAAACACACGTAGGTTCCCCCACTGACCCAACACTTGTTCAACCACTCCAACACACTAAAAATCCCTCGGCCGACACCCAACAGAGATTTAGCTTGACTTAGCTGATTGGTTCTCTTTCCTCCTTAAATCTTGACCAACCTCGGAACCTAGTCACTTGGCCTGATGAAGCTTTTGTTTTAAAAGCGAAACGTTGCCCAGCAATAAATCTACCGATTGTTACCAAGCTTTTTCGAAAAGGAATTCTAAATAGTTCCACTTCGGGCTGTGTAACGAGATCGACAATCAGATGTCTGCCTTACTCAGTTATTCCCTTTTCGTCACTCGTCGTTGTACTATCGATCACCTTGGAGGCTCCAATCGACTGGTGTGCGTGTGTATGTGTGTATGATTGTTACTGCCTCGTCGGCAATATTCTGTGCAGAAACTGTTTAGCTTTTTGTGCGAAAGCAAGTTACCGCAACTTGAGACCAACAAGTTAGGCAGTAAGATCACACGCACTCCGATAATGGTTGCAGCAAACCTTTAACTCTCAATCGGAGAGGGTCATTGATTTTCGCTTACCCGCACGAATTTCTCATTTCCAAATCTGGTTAACTCCGTCTGACTGCCTGCCGCGTGTGTCTGTGAGTTTCTCGTCCAGAAACGTCGTTTTTTAACTAACTTTGTTTGGAGTCTACCGGTTTTAAAGCTTATAGTACATCCTGTGGAGTCTTGCTACAGGCCTGGCATCACGGATTCCAGCCATAAAGACTCGAAGTGGATTGTACGCTGGTTGGACTCCTGAAGATTCGAATATATATCCCCAGAAATGCTAACCTAAAGCTTCGGCCAGAATTGGGGACCCAGTGGTTATTGACAAAGTGTGAAAGGCCAGGCGCCATTATCTAACGGGTTTGCAGGTGCGATACGCACATGATGCACAACGTGGTCAAAAATGAATGTGGCGTAAAACTGCATTCAACTGGTTCATTGATTTACAAACAGATTTTTTCTATAGTTAAGATGATGTAATAGGTTGACATTTGAGGCTATGGTTCAGGATTAGTTTTTACTGGAAGCCAGAATCGTGCCGGCATTTTACAAGTTGACAAATGGCGAGGTAAAAAGATGCCAAAACGACATCATACGATCATAAAAGAAACTACTCACAAGGTCGCTGAATACTCTCCGAATGGTTTTCAGCAACCTTGTGAGTAGTTTCCTTTGTGAAAATATACTGTGAATTCTCGAATATCATGCCAACTAAATCATGAGACGGCCTGTGTGAGGCACATTCAGTTGTAGAATATCATAAACGAGAGATTCATTTGAGTGAAAACCAAATTGATTTTCAAATGAGTGTATTTCTCGAAAACAGTCCAATTTGGTTCAGTTAGATCATAAGGTTGACGGAAACTCGGGTACTGCGCCTACTTAGCGAAACCGGTCGTGGGCTGTCGAAGACTTTTCAGCAACCTTGCGTGTAGTTTCCTCTATGAAACTATACTGCGATATCTCGAATATCGTACCAACTGAAACGTGAGATGGCCTGTGTGCGGCACCTTCAGTTGTAGAATATCAGACGGGTCTTCCGTGAAAACCAAATTGATTTGAAAGTGACTTTTCACAAGTTTGCTTGAATCTTTATTTGTAACTTAATCAACCTAATAGTCAAAAGGTGAGAAAGACAAACAAGAGATGCGTGTTTAAGAATACTTCTTACTGAAGTTAGGAGAACCCTGATAAAACGAAATACAACGCTTAAAATGATAAGTCAGAAGGAGACTAATTGTTTCAGGTCAGGAGACGTTTGCTCTACAGTATGGCTGCTAAACGTGGAGACTAGTTGGGGCTCGGTCGATATCCTGTCATGTGCGCGCTCGTGTTTGTGTGCTGGACCGATTTGTCTGCCGATCTACTGTGTGCATCTAGAAGAGAGGAATGTCCATTCTTCTTTAGAGGATGACCGCTGCAGGCCCACAATTGATTTCATTCTACTTGGGGCTTATCATGGAAACATAGACCCGGGTTCACGTGATTAAATTGTCTGATCCCATGAACCGGCGCGCCAGTTGGGTAAATATCTGTTTCACCTGCCACTTGAGGACTGAATGCAGATAAAATTAAAAAGCGTTCAAAACTACAGCTAAATCAGATGATGGCCTGGGAAGATGGGATGTTTTGTGAGTAGAAAACCCATACTCGAAGTGGAAACGAGAATTTCTTTGAGAAGTGTGTTATCATAAATTAGGCGGCTTAGAAACATTTTTAAACCGGTTGGATCAAAGAAACGAAAATATATTCAGCGGCGGTTTAGTTTCGGTGGGGCCCTTTCAGAATAGTCATTTACTAACGCATTGGAAACAACGTTTTGTGTCTCGAATATTCACCCAGCTGCTCTAATCACATTTTAGCATCAAAATGTCCCTCAGTGTTTGGTCGCCTAGAAACAAGGAGACAGATCGCTCCCTAGATGATGCGACCAACAAGTCGAGTTGTGGAACCCTGGGTAAATAAAAATATTTCAATAGAATCTGCTTAAAAGGTGAATTGGGTTGGAAGTTATCTTAACAGTGAAACCCAAAGACAGAACAGAGGGGGCCAAATGTTACCACGGGAACGATCTGCTTTCAGTTTCATTCTGAAAGTGCCAAATAGGCTATCCCAAAAGCCAAGGCTGAATTTCAGGACAAACAGCTATGCAAGGGTGGCTCGAATTCATTGTGAAGTAAATCGGGTCTAACCTCCACTACCAAGGGATGTTCATGGACAATGGGATTCCCAATTCATGATTATAGTAAGCCCACGCTGAACAATAGTTTACCCTCGTTAGAGGTTTTGTGACTAAAACGACGTCAATGAAAAAGCAGCTCGGACAAACATGAATTTTGTGGGCAAAATCGATTGCTTCACAGTCTGCTGAACACCCCATCGGTTCAAATAGATCGTGGTCAGTTGAGGAACTAGTGCGTTACCAAGCTCCTGGAGCAAGAAACCAGGTTAGATGAGAAGGCCAGGTACACTAGCTCCATCGGTTAAAACAACCGAGGACATCTTTTAGCTGGCCAAAAGTTACACCAGAAAGAATAAACCTGTTTTTCTCCTAGAAACTCTAACCTCAAACCCGATCTTGTTCGGGGAAGGTGTATACAAAGAATCGATATAACAGTCAATATCATTCGATCGTGGGCTGTCTGCTGATTCGAGTTCTTGGCACTTTCACATAACGAAGAAGTGATATTCCTGTTCTAATTCCGCATGACATTTATGTGAAATTACGAAACATTCTGACAGTCTGCCACCTGTTTCTTCTTCCCCTAAATTTCCAAAGTCGATTCCACCACAGCTAGCAGTCCCATTGGTCGAAGTTTCGGAAAAGCTTGCTTTAAAGCCTGTGATAACTTATCACGACCTGGTTCTCACAAACTGCTACTATCTTGGACAAGAAGAGTGAGTTTCGATTGCTATTTCATATCCGTATCAGACGAACGCGAGATATTGATTTCCAATTGCTTTCCTAATCACTTAATGCATGAAATGTGAGCATTGTTCAACAGTTGTGTGATCTGTTCGCGTTGATGAATTGAGAAATATGTGCAAACGATAGGTAAATTCGACTTCAGAAATGAGGTATACAGCAGCAATGATTGCTGACAGGTTCACACAGTATTACAAGTTCAAAGGAAACACGTAGGTAAGGGCACGGTTGTATTGAGTGCACGCGGCCAAACAGGCCGACCTTCTAACGCGTAAGCTACCAACTGAGTCACATGACCAGTCATCCCACAAGCAGTATTGAGGGATAGACACGCACGCGTGCAAACCAATCAGACACGCATCCGATCAGGCACTGATTGGTGATGTACTGACGAACGGGCATGCACACGCGCAAGCTCAGACACACCGAAGCGACTACTGTAGTCCCCCACCACTGGATCTAGCCAGCTCCTGCTTGATGACGTTCGGCCGGCCTGGACACCCTAGCGACCGGCGCAGGCACCTTGACGCATCTGCAGCTGTTTCCAAACTCTCTTGCTTCGATCCGGAGTCCACCTGTACTGTCGGCTCAGGTGTTTATTCCGCCTCTGGCCCATGCTTCGTAGACCTGGTATGGTCTAAATGACGGCGTATTATCCTCCCGTCTTCTAACAGCAAGTCGATAAGGTTACAGTTTGGCGATGTCACACAACCGTTCCTTATCTGACACCTGATGTTTGACGTAAACATCCTCGCCACTTCCTATTGTGCGAGGTCGGACGTGTTGCTTCATGGGACACTCCCGTTGTTTGACCGCGAAATCCGGCCATAGCAGATCCAAACGTGTTCGAGTGTTCGTCCCATTAGCAACTCGCAGGGTGCCGGGCCTGCGACGTAACTCCTTACTGCAATAAAAACATGTCCAATCTTGTTTGTAGAAGACCTGGGCTTTGCTTCATCATTCTTTACGGTTGCCACCTCGCGTTCAACCAGGTCATCAGAAGCGGGATGAAATGGTGCTGCTAAAACAAGTTGTATCCCGTTGATTTTCAGAAACAGTTGAAATTCTGCACAGGTGAAAGCCGTGTCGTTATCGGAAACAATCATATCAGGTACACATTGCGATGCAAAACTGCTGCGAAGTGGTCAAAGTTCTAGATGCAGTTCTAGTGGGCACCGCTTCTATCCACGTGAAGTACGCATCGACAATCGCAAGGATCTTATAACCTTCAACAGGTCCACAATACTCCACGTGTACGCGGCTCCACGGTCGTGACGGCCACTGGTATGGTGATATGGGTACTGCTACGGGCAAAGTTTTATTTTGCTGACATGCCTCACACTTTTGCATCGTCATTTCCACATCATGTTCGATACCAGGCCACCATCAGCTGACGTTTCAAGTGACGGAGTTCATAGACGATATGGAGCCCGTTTTGTTCAGTACCTCTCCTGTCTGTAACACATCGAGTTACCATGCGAGACACCAAAGTTATCTTTCGTATGTCCTGAAGACCGTACTTTGTATGGACACTCTAGCGTCATTCTCGCCAAACGCATGGCCTCGTCGTTCTTAAGGTGATACTGATCACAGTAACGGGCCTACAACAAGGCGAGATGCATTCTCTGATCGGTGTTCTTGGGTTCAACCTGGGAAAACATATTTTTCCCAGCGATTCTCATCCGATAAAAACCGTCTTGATTCAAACTACTGCGTTTACCGCTTGCCTGGAAGCAGTACGACATCGGAAAGAACACGAGAATTTCAACTACAACAATGAGAGAACAATGACATTCATCAAAGTAACCATCTGTTCAGATTGTCGATCGTCGTCTAGGCAAGTCGGCGGTAGTGCTCAACTTCACCTCTGTCCTGAGGATGATGTCCCGTACTGGAAGCAAAAACTTACAGAGAGATTTGAGGATTACGGTTGAAAGGGATTTTAAAATCGCAACTGGAATATCTTCTCCCTCAGAGGATTCTCCGTCTTTCATAGATTCGGTGATCATGGTGATATTCGGTTTGTTTGGGTCTCCAACACGCCTCTGCTTCTTTGGAAATAACATGTGTTGAAAGAACAAGTTGATTAAAAATCGTCCATTTGTGATACAAACATCATATTTCACATGATTTTGGACCAGTAAGACATGTGATCGCTGATGGTGAACCTTGCGGTTCTTCGATGAAGGGTGCAATTCCGTTAGCGTCATATCACAAAGCTTAGTCAATTTCAGATCTTCGACGCGCATTGGTCGACCGGACGTATTTTCGAGTGGTCTATATTTGTGAGTTGTCCTGTAAGAAACAATCAGAAAGCGCATTCTACAATCCCCAACCACTTATATAACAATTATGGCGATTTGACCGGAGGACCATCCAAATGAGTGATTTATGTAAAAACTTCAAGACCTTTGGCTGATGAATCACCCAAATACGGTTAACCTGCGGAGCTGTGTTCCTTTGACGGCCTACAATGTTCGTGAGCGTTCCTTAGAGGCCAATATTTCGCAATATGGTAAGGTTTGTCGGTGGTATGGTGATCGTTTGGCCTATAGCCTTTCCAACGACGTTGGTCTAAACAAGACCGGCCATGTAGCTGATATGTGCTTTCGTCCTCCCGTTCACGCACTCGAATGTGTAAGGCACGTGCTTCTATCAACAGACCACGTTTAGAAGTCACCTTGGCAATCTGCTGTCGTCTTCTGTAGAATTCGCCAGAGACAGGGGAACTTACTCAGCCATCATCATTAGGTTCACCACAATACACCATAGGAGACCCTTTGCTGCTTCTGAGGACACTAAAACCCCCAATGAGTGCAATGTCGACGCGACTAATCAACGCCAACTTGGAACCGTGAAATCCCAAATCGTATTCCGTTCTTTCTTGACAGAGCAAGTAAGCCATCTCTGTCTCCGGCGTCTGGATTCGTCCGCCTTTGCCCACTAGTTGCATTTGCAAACACGGTTGAGTTTTTTTCTACAAAACGGCAGAAATTGCAACTCTCTCGAAATTTCACACCAATTTTTTCTAGTTAACAACCTTGCATGTACCTCACTTCTGCTGACGACTTCATCTGAGCTACTGGTTTTGCCTCTATGAGTATATCCAAGGGACACCTATATGTACTATGTTTGGTCACCTTGACTTATCCCCCATCCCTGTTGTTCAATTGAGAATGTTTCACAAATCTCAACAGCAACAGAGGTAGAAAAAAATTACCCACGACTATAACATCCTATTCTACCGAGCAGTTTTGACCTCACACTCTCTTAATAGAAGGATAAAATGTTTCTATCTTGCATAATCTCGGCGGTTATTATTCTTGGTGGTGAAGTTGTCCGCTCCCTTTAGTGTGCAATCGATTTTAATGAACAGTTAGTCGCATCTAACACATATCGCACGTCCCATTAGGTGATAGAGATGGGCCTAAATCACACGCAGCGTCACGTGCCTGTCTAGACCAAAGCTATCTCTGACTATTTGGCTCAATTTCTGGACATATCAGCCATCAGCTGAACATCACCCACAGGTCCGAGCAGACACGCAATCACGTTCTGTTTCATGAGAAACCGGATGAGCGATACTCAATGTGAATAAATGACACAATCAAGAGGTGCCGCTTGTCTCCTTAATTCTTCAAAAGTAAAGATAAGCACACGCGCTCCGGCGGTATTATGTGATCAGTCGTAAAGATAAGACACGCGCTCCGGCGGTATTATGTGATCAGTCGTTCTTTTGTTACAATAATACATCAGATGAGCATACAATAGGGTGACAAAAAGCGAGGAGTGAAAGTTTTAACCTAAGTTGAACACGGCCCATAGGAAAAAATGTGTGGTTCGGTGAAGCTGGGTACATTACAGATGACTTCAAAAATACATTACAACATGAAAACCCGCTGCCTCGCGAGCACACTTCTTGCTGAGTCCACAGAAATACAGTAGTGCACGGTAATGACATCAGTGCTTGTTTCTCCGTTCCCGATCAACGGGGCATTAAAGTGTGTGAAAAAAAGAGGCACAGTACTAGTCAATATAACGATCATCCAAGGGACTTTACTGATATCATAAAGATACACGGTTGAAGTCGAATTTCGTCGTGTTGCTGTCTTCCTTCAATAATCTCAATTTCCGACCTGACCCAGCACAGAACACCGTGACTTCTCAGGGAGAATTCCGGGATAGCAATAAAGAACTATCACGAGTGTCAGATTCCTGAAAGTAGCCACTAAATGCCCGAAATCTACTCAGCTCCGTTAGATGCTAGGCAGACAGACAACGCCCTCTCAATATGGCGCACGCAAAAGCCTTGTATCAAAGCCAGACAGCGCGACTCAGCGCTTGATCAAGGTCAGACAACGCCCTCTCAATATACAGCACGTGACAGCCTCGTATCAAAGCCAGAAAGCTCAGGACAGTGTTGGATCAAGGTCAGACAGTGTCCATCCAGTAAAATCGCTTAAGGCCGTTGCATTTTCGCACTCGCGCACTCACAGTCGACAGTTCGCAGTAAAGCTGTTGTGTCTTTTTTCCGGCACTAGGCACTGGAGCTGTGTGGAAAGCAGCAAAATATAACTAGAACCACCTAAGAAAATGGATACAGTCAAATTTGCAGATATGGGCAAGGTACAAAACTAGGGTGGAGGAAGCATGGATTACTGAAGCCAGGAACCACTTGAATGATGAGATGAAATGATAGGAGGACGGTTGAAACAGAATGCGGTTCCTTTCGGGAAAAAGTATTGACACAACGCAGATATTACTGATCCATTCACAGTAGTCCTGTAATTTTTGTTAGGCTATGTTGTTTTGCAAACCCTTTTCATAACAGTCAAATTCCCTCTCATTTTAGAGACTTGACGACCGACATACAAACTCTCAAGCTGCTCTAATTGACAATATTAGCCGAAGTTTCTCCACTTGGGTCAAACATAACCAATATTCAGCCGTGATAGGGAACCAATTCCCCCGGCTACTTCATCGTTTGCATCGTAGGTTTGGGTTCAGCGAAGCACACCAAGTTGAGGGAATTTCAACAGAATATCCTAACTATGGTCAGATAATTAAATTGACAATATATTTTTAGACTTTCTGTGGTATATTTTAGCCCCAGTTGAGCTCTGTCCGTACAACGAATTTTGCCTTTTCGAACGTTGCAGTAAACACCGAGCGCTTAGGTACAGCAACCGGGTAATTAATGTGGCCTTCCTCATAGCAACGACTGCGATTTGCGTGATAATCTTATCCTCACTTATTACGAAAATCGATCCAAACATTGGCGATCACTTCATTGCTCCACGTTCTACTCCGTTTTTACTACGTCTAGCCTGCCAAAAACCATACACCAGCTTTCTCATCATGAAGGATGGAAGCCATACATTGAGCTTCATGCTCTCGTGGAAATCTGTTATTCGCCCTGCCTGGATGTAAGTCGTTCTACCGTTTGTTGTAATGATTTCGTTTACAAGGTTCTGTGTGGATACTCTAGGTGGACGTATTCAATTCATAGTGGTGGAGCAGAGTGAGAATTGCTCTTGACGTTTCCAGAATCCTCTAGAAAGTTCCGATGGTTTTTTTTAAAGTCCAGTTTAAAGTCGGTATTCACATGACGAGGTACCGCCCACAGCCTACACTGAGAAAAGAACGGTATCTCCTAAAATTAGGAGGGCGCATTTTGAGATACAACATATATCAAGAGGTAAATTCAGACGAAAGCTACCGGATATTGGATTCGAAACAGAATTAGAGAAATTTTTAATCACCTGTTAGTTTGATTTGGGATCACATTCATTCAATTTTGAGAGAACTTACCTGTAGGAAGAAATATACGAACTTTTTCAATCTCGGCCTTTTTTGGGAGAATAACTGTGGGTAGATCATTGTAATGAGATCTATTCATCTGATATTGGCTTTCCTAGTCAACCCAAAGGCCGGTCATTCCTGGTTTCTATTGCAGGAAAATGGGCTTTCTGTGCGAACTTATACTACATTGGTCGTTGGCTTGTTCGCTGAGCTGGGTAATTTGATTGCAAACGCTTCATCACCAATCGAGGTGGCATCATCAGTGCGTTACTGGGGAGCGTAGTGGTGCGTAGCGGTGGGTTAGTGGTTGTGCACAACCAACGACCATCTACGCTACCTGAGCTACCGACATTTTCCTCTATAGAAAATGACATATTGTTTTGTCTGCCTCCGTTGAGGCGATTTACTGTTACGAGTTCGCTCATCCAGGCCAATCACTAGAACTGTGGCGCTACTAAGAAATTCCCCGGTTCGTTTGCCTTCTCTACAGTGATCGATCTGCTCTTTTCCAATTTGAACTTTATGGAACAATATGCCCGGTCTCTATTACGCTAAACGGTCACAGTACCGAATGCCCATGAATGTACTATGCTAGTGGTGAGCGATCATCTCGCTTGGCAAATCAGACGCTGTTGTGATAATTGCGTCTACAAAACGGATGAGATGAATATGACTGATAGACTTAGCTTGTTGGGAGGTTCAAAAATACGGAAACAAAAGTGGGAACACACAGCTAAAAGTGTCATGTTCTCTCCCCTAACTGATGCAAATCAAGTGGCACGACCGATCAGATAAGGAAAGGTGGGTATTCTCACACAGAAATGTGTGATTCCGTTGTTTCTATGTGCAACGGGACTATGAATTTTGACCTTGTCTTTTCTAGTATCACTAATTGAGTCACTTCGTATCGCGTTATTGCTGTCCGATAAACCCTAGTGAGTCCAACCGAGGTTTCTCACATATTGAGGTACATTCGGTCACCAGCGTACAGTTTCCATCATTTATGCGTTTTTAATCCAGTATTTAGACAACTTTTGCATTTTTGGATTTTTACGCTCCAACTAGGTCTTAAGTACTCGGCCAACAACGAAAATACTGGACGCTATCCAGGAAGTCCACGAGTGCAGTGACTGTAGAGACTACAGTGGCCGCTTCGAGTGCGCAACTTAGCCGTTATCTCTTGATAATTCTCTTACCTCAAGAAATATACTACTGATAATATTACACTCTCCGAAGCCCCTCGTAACATACCCCAAATTCATGACAGTAAACATCCAACGAGGTATCACCGCACAACAGGCATGCACAGTCGGCATGAATACACACAATTGCATTTTCTCTGTAAAACGGCATCAAGAGAGGACTTGAATGCCGCTTAAAGTACATAAAATAATCGTTCGCTTATAGCACCTTTTCACTGCCTAACTACCATGCCACTCGAAGGAAACGTGAGACCAACAGGTTGATCAGTCTTCCGTTTTCTGTAACATGACTGTTCTGGCCAGTTGATACCGAAGGAGAGGAGACACCGAAATCTAGCTTTGTACAGCTCATCGGGATTGCCCAGGCTCTGAGCTCCAAACATGTGCGAATTACGCAACTACTCACAATTAATTAAACATAATTGTCAAACTGTCCAGGTGTCTGTGATACTGTCTGACTGAAAAGGGTCGAACAACAGATCATCCAATCAGCTCAAGCGGGAGAGTTATCAGTGATCCGCCAAGCATCGTGCAGACAACTCGCACTGCTTACCCTTTCAGATCTAATAATTCGGATGAAATCGATGTGCACCGGTGGAGCTTTGGCGACACAGTCTCCTTACATTTCGTAAACCCGGGGTTCGAGTCCCGATTCTGTGCTTCGTGGATTTAGACTGAATGAACTTCCGAACAGACTGAATCCGTGAAACAGTTATCATCTGCTTTTTCTATCCATGGTTGGACGTTCTTGAATGATTCTTTCTGAAGTTATTCATTTGCTCATTAGCACGGAGTTGCGGCAAGTAGCGGGCCTGATTCAACCGACCGGAGTGTGATTTCAAATAGAGCATAGAAAACTGCGTTCTTATTTACAAAAATGTCGTTCGTACTCTTGATTGTCTCCTTGAAATACACAAATGAAATGTGCCCTCAATTTCTCTCACCTACTCTACATCCAGGCAATCTTAAATGCAATAGAGGCTCAAAGTCCATTGAATGCCGACAAGATAATCGATTCACTTGAACAAATAACCAAGGTCTTCCAGTTTATGCCAAAGGTTTTGGAAAGATTTTATGGTGAGTTGTATGTCTGAGGTCTTAAAGCGAGAAAAATTGACATGATTTTTTGACAAAATAATTAATACTTACGCGAGGAGCCCTTCCACGTAACGGGTCAGAGAGTGTTCACCTGTATTTGAACACTGGCTATTGGAATTTGACAAGACATCTGATCAGCGACAATAATCCGTTAGTTGTAACACCCTTCCAGTGACTAGCTACGATGTCACTTTAAGGAAGCACTAGAGTTGAGATACCGTCAGGTCACACAGGCCTAGATAGGAGCTGTCGAGATCCCGGTTGTGTTCGAACCACGAACTTTCCGTTTGCACCTCAACCACCGACCTCTATCGAATTCTTCGGTTCTTCATGGCTGTCTCCAATCTGAGTATCATTGTGTGCTCACGAGAATGGTCCTGATAATCAATAATCCTGAAGCATCTAGTAGTTCCGAACTTAGTTGAGCATTTACATTTAGATTTACGGTCCTCCAGAGGTATCTTCCTAAAAGCGGGGCTCTCTCCCTGTGGGTTTGCGATGCATGCTTGGTTTTGTAATTCATCTGCCTGAAGTAAAACACAGAATCTAGAAGCTTTATGTGGTTCAACAACGGTGCTATGGTGTGCATCATCCTCTGAACATGTCCTTGAGCTGTGTGCCTGGTTGTCCAGACTGATCATTTGCACTTTGATCACCACTCTACTGAGGAGACTCTCTGTTGTTATGTGGTGACATTCGGTTGTCATTCAGAATGAGTTAAAATGTGTATACACTTAAAATGAGCCTTCAAGGGTATTCGTCCTTAGCAGCTACAACAACTCTGCTCTGTATTTACGTGTGGATCGTAATCCGAAGGAATTGAAAACTCAGCACCCTTGATTTGATTGGACCACTCAGATCAGCGTATATGGTGGACACCCCTGCTATCGCGGTGAAGTCCTAACTCCTGGGATGACTGTCTTGAAATGGCGAATATCATAAGTTTACTCTAGTATGACACACGAGCGTCTCTACTTCTAAACGCTTATACGTATGAACACATGCCGAAAACCAAATGGATGTACTTCTTTGATTGGTTGTTTTCACCGGTGACCAACGACGTTATTTGTAGACCATGTTATTTCGTTTCTCTCCCTTGCTTACATGCAGGTTGGCTAGATCCAGAGGAGTTTATGTTTAGCTTAAAGCCGCTTATTTGGGGGTGAGTGTTGTTTTGCTCTCTCTTGCAAATCAAATTTATGTGTATCAACATAGTTCGCACGTTTTTCGTGTGAACACACCTGTGTTGCTTTTTGTGTACTTAATGAATCAAGGAAATCGCAAACATTTCTCATGGGTGTTCAATATTTACAGATTCTCCCGACACCGGCTGAATAACTGGCATCAACATTTCGCACTAATCGCTAGGCACAAACCAAATTTACTTTTTCCAAATTTATGTTGATTTGGAAGTGAAGACATTTATAAATGTTGCATTTACTCCTAGTGTGAATTTGGATGGCCTCTTACTTTTAGCGGTTGGTTTGAATGGATGAATTTTCAAGGTCACTAAAGGCCCCACTAATGTTGGTTGCAAGAACCCATTACAACTAGAAAGCGAAACGGTGCCACTGAAAAAAAATAACAATAAGAGTTCGTCATGCAGAAGAACAATTACAAACTTTTTTACTGTGTGTAGTGCCCTGAAAGCAAATCCGTTTTCATGCTGTTGGAGTTGAACAAGATATCGCTGTAGTAAAATGATATCAAAGTAATCCTACATATGAAACAAACTTGCCGTATACAAAAACAGAGCACTGCATAAGACTACCACTAATATCATCCCGGACGAATAAAGTTTGAATGTTTCCCTGCAAATGATAGAACGTCATACCATTTCACGCTTTTTCTTTGTTGGACTGTTAGCCGAGTGGGTCACTCAACCCCGCACTGACGATGTCACCTCGATTGGTGATGAAACGTTTGCAATCCAGCCGCGAAGCTCGGCGAACAGACCGACGACCAATCAGAGCAACCGAGCCACCTATATTCCACAGTGTTGCCATTCTAGGCTTTGTTTGGAAGAACGAACCCGAACACAGGTGTCCAAAGGTAGAGAGCGGTGGACTTCCACAGCTGTACATTGCTGACAGGAAACTTTCAGTAACAGGCAACCATCCCCGCGGTGCACCAATGAACGCTGATGCTGAACTTAAATGTAGAAAACCCAAGATTACCCCTGATGATTCACTCGTTCACCTACTGAAATATAACAAGTAGTTTATTATCAGTCCACATATAATAACATCGATGATATCCTGAAAGTATGCCTCAAGCCGCCTGTCCGACGACGTCACCAGGTACGTCTGAGAAGCATCCCGCCAAGTCATTACCGAAATGCCGCTTCCCTCGCGTGGATATGGAGCCATCTTAAGGCAGCAGAAGACTGTCCATAACTTGGTGCATCGGAAATGAGTATAACTGTTCGATATAAATGATTGCGGCCTTCAATAGAATAGGGAGCAAGCATAAGTAATCCAGCACAAGAATAGCAATTTACTTACCAGGATTCTTATTCCATTCAAATACGAATACACATAATTCTCCTGAGGGGAGGAAGAGAATGTTGACGGTTAAAATATGAACTTTGGATAACTTTTAGGAAAAGAGCTTGGGTTGGTGCCGTTGGAACGCAAATTTACTGCCCTGACTCCTGTCTCCTATCTACACTTGGGCAACCTGACAGTATCCCAGCCCTCGTGCTTCTTTCGGGTGGCATGGCAGCTAGGCACCGAAAGGGTGATACAACTGAACGATTTTTTGGTGCTGTAATAACAGAACCTAGACGCGAAAACGTCGAAAAGGGTCCCAGTAGCCGCCCGAAAGACAACAACGAACAGGCATAAGAGACGACAAAATGGGCGTTGCGGGGGCGTTTCTGAAAATAGTAACTGAATGTTAATAATTTAAGATGATCTTGTGGGGACAAACGGATAGCAAGAATTGCGGCACAGGTATAGAAAAGTTTGCTTATGGAGAAGTTTGCCCCACTGGAATTTGGCGCTCGCTTTTCCAGACCTCCTCAAAAACGCCTTGTTACAAGCGTGACGTAAGATACTTTTAACGGGAAGGCTAATAAATAAACACCGATATTGCTTATAGAGTTCTGCAGTTTGTCTTTCAAATGGAACGTGATTGTGGAGGTGCATAGTTTGGGAGTGGTAAGAATAAATGTCTAGTCTTTTTGCTGACGTTTCCTGCATCCAAGTAGGGCATTCTTATAGAAACAAAGTTTTTCCTCATTCAAACGTGCTTTGGTTCTTTGCACTGTAGGTTGCATGGTCTTAAGTTCAAGTCTTTCTATGTATCCACTGTGAAAAAATGGAGATTTTGAAGAATTGCTTCCTCGTGCGAACAGCAGCAGAGATGTAGATACGCTGTTTACACAAAAAATCTATTTTCGTCAAACGTATATTATCACGCAATGGGCATCATGAAAGATTCCTAATCAAGGCTGTTTAATCTAAAAAAAACTGCGTACCAGACAACTTCCAGTTTGGAGAAAGCGTGTTTACCTAAACCCCACGGCCGAAGTTGACTAGGTGATATTAGGTGACTCAACCACAAATGGAATCCTGTCGGTGTGTGTTTCAAATAGCTGATCGTAATGGCTAACTTACACAGGGTATTCGACGGAGATCATCGTCGTTTCTCTGCAGTACGCTAAACTTTCTCAGTTGTTCATATCAATTTCCATGACCGGGAATGCAAGTTTCGCTATTTTGGAGCTCGCTGATTTCAGAGACCATCTTAGAGTATGCCTGCCGTGCCAGATGTTACCTTTCCGTGTTCTTGGACCTGTTATGACACTAAAAACCATATTTTTCGCCCATTCTGTAGAATCTTCCGTTAAATTTGGTTCCATTCCGTAAATGCACGAGGTCGAATTTCAAACAAGCTTTAAATTCTACTTGAATGCACACAAACTGAGAATCTTTGGATAGTACAGTGACATTTTATTGGCTAATTCAAACCAACCAATAGTTGACAGACTGGGGATTCCGTCCCACTAATGGAGTTGGTGTGGAATTAAACGCCAGTGCTTCCAGGCCTCTCAGCCGGAACCGGGTTCACTGACAGGACTCAATTTCTGTATACACTTTCAGATCTCTCCACGCTGTCCACACACTACCATAAGTAGATCAGAGGAAGAAAAAGCTTCATCCGATGAGGATGAATTCGTTTCTCGAGAAACCAGTCGGGCTACTAACTACGTGATGTGGATCCCGTGAATGTACTAGGATAGACGATTTATCTTGTCTGAGTGCGGGCTAAAAACCCTGCTGATCTGCCGCTCGAAGCCGAGTGGTGAAGTTTCCAAACCTGGGAAACCGCGGGCTCGAGTCTCCATGGAGTTTCGTGAGATGCGCACTGCTGATGAGTCCCATTAAGGGTGAAACATCTGTACAATGTTCCTCGGCATTTCCGCTTAGACCGGCACTCCGTTAAAGTCGCCGTGACTGAATTTCGATTGGCTGAGTAAGAAGTGAACGCTCATCAGTGGGTGCAAGCCGTTTGTGCGGGAATGCCTGTTTATCTGCATTCCAAACCCCACTTAGGTAAAAATACTTCACTCAGGTGCGTTATTAGTCGGCTTCCAAAATCTTTTGCTAACCATTTCAAAGACAGCTTACTGTGCCCCGTCCTGCGGTGATATCCAGAAGTTCATATCGCACTGTGCCAGGTAACTTTCGTATTGCGCATTTGTTGTTGACCACATGAACGTTGGGAATAGCTCCGATTTTGTAAACATCCTTGACGCAATAGGTCTGGCCTTATTACCTCCAGGAACTCGATTATGGCTTCCGATTCTCACATGTGTTTCAAAGTTCCCTCTGTCTAATGTTTTGATCCTGGTACTCATCAGCTGTCGTCGAGCAATCTGGGACTCACTAGGTCACCCCTGGTTAACATTCACCTGCTCAGTGGGGCTAGTTTCAACTTTCTGACTTATAAACCGTTTGCAGCTTCTGGTTGTTTCTTGTTTGAAATCGTATGGTTATATGGCTTAAATATCAGGGCGTCCACTGTTTCACAACAGTCAGTTCGTTTACGGTAGATCAGTGTCGGAAACCGAAGATGACCTCTTCGATTAATTTTGAATGGCAGTAAATATCCTCACTGAAACCGGGGTTACAAGGTCGTCAGAAATTCAACAATATTCCTGTAATTTTCAAAGTTGCAACCACTGGTACTAATTTTAGCAACCCACTGTAGGTGGAATATCGGATCCCTGAAATCCGGCTTGCTGTACGAAGGCGTTCGAACACCAGACGTGTTAGATGACCTTTCCGGGACCGAACAGCAGAAAGGTAGGTGAGTTTTCCTAATAGTACTGAGTTTTCCAGAAAACGATCAGAGACTGGGCAGGCGCTTTACATTCACCGGACCCAATGGAGCGCAGTCTATCTTTCTGCAGGCTACTGACCTATTCCTTGGAGTAGCACATGATCCAAGTAAGTATCAGTTGTGCTCATTGCCGTATCCAATAAATCAAGTCAAGCTCAACTGACACTCGGTGGTATTTTGTTCATCGCCTCTCTATGATTTAACTTCAGAATTATGGGCGAAACTGTCCATCTGTTCTTGGATGAGCTGGGAGGTTTGATTGCAAACTTCTCATCCCCAATCAAGGTAAAGCTGCCAATGCGTTCTTAGGGGGGTGAATTGGGGCGTAGCGACCTATCCGTTCTTGATGAGCTGGGAGGTTTGATTGCAAACTTCTCATCCCCAATCAAGGTAAAGCTGCCAATGCGTTCTTAGGGGGGTGAATTGGGGCGTAGCGACCTACGGCCGCGATCTAGCTCGGCTCAACCCAACGACCATGTGCAATTCCTGAGCTACCAGCAATCCCCTCAATATCAAATATAGGCAGGATATTATCCATACGAAAAAAGACGACAGCCGCATCAAACCAGGTTTAGATATCAGCGTACGGGCGTCTCCACCCGAGTGCGACCTTTTAGGTAAACAACCATTTTCGTCCGTATTAGGGATATGGCAGTCCTCCGGAGGGACGACACTTTGGGATAGTGTATTCACGCAGCTGTCTGCCAAATGCAACCATTAAACTTTAGTGGGCGTTTTGAGAAACACCTACTGTATTAGCTCAAACAAAGCGAACCTGGCGAAAGGAGGAGCGATGTTTGAGTGTGGAGTTCTCTAATAGACAACACGAACTAAGCGACTATAAGCCATCAGACATGAGAGCAAAACCCCATTTGCACAGGGGTTCTGAAAAGTGAACCTTCTCTAGCGATCGGTTGAACTTCTTCGGTCTGATAAGTTCCATATCAACCTTCCTTCAGAAACAAGTACTGAGCTTTAGAACACTCAACCAGATTCTACTCCCAGGTTTCATCAGTGGTATGCACCATGGCACTGACGGAGATCGTCAGACACTCTTCCCAAGGTTGCGGAACATAGGTCTCCCGGGTGCACTGAGTGATTGTTGGTCTGTTCGATTAGCTTGACAGTTGGATTGCAGACATTACATCCACAATCCAGGTGACGTCGTCAATGCCAACAGACCAACATCCAAACTCTCCCCAAAGCACCAAGAAATCACCCCGATTTGACCACACAAGAGTGCAGGCCATTCAAGTGTTGCTCGTTGGATTGAGGGTGCACACTCTAGGTTTGTGTCTCGACTAAATCAAAATGAACTGAACTACAGAAATGTCCACTGACCGAACACAGCCCTTCTGCATAAACCCTGTATTGATCAGAATCAGCGTTATTCAGAGGATCACATCGTTTGCTACTTAAGTTATTCTCGGACCGCAAGAGACTCAGGTTAGCCCACGTAATAGTAATCATGTCGTGCCCCTTCCTGGAAAACTCTTCACTGAAGAGACCGAGTCAAATTTGAATGTGTAAATTCGAATGTTACTTTTTCTAAGAATTTTCAATGTAATTGTTTGTATCACATTCGTGGCGAGTTCATTTTTCCCCCGAGTACAGATTCTCACTGAAGATGGCCTAGTTCGTCGGGAACGCTGACAGTGAACCGAAAGTGAACTGTTCTTCCTATGGAGTTCTGCACTCGTGAGCTACGTGCCTCAAGCGCAGGCTAGAAATAAGGCTAATGCCACGACTGGATTTAGCCATACCTAAGTCGATACGAAATCTGACCAAATTTCGGTGTTTTGCGTAAATGGAGGACTTACGCGGCTCAGTCTGACCGTCATTTTGTTTTCCGTTTGTTTGAAAGTGACGATAGAAAACCATAAGCCTTACCCCGAATTTGTATCAAATCCCGACTTAGCCAAGAATCTTCTTGCAAATGTTGAGAAACCTGACAGATGAAAAGTCAAGGACGTTTCAGTTTCCATTGATTGTAATCCTTTTGAAACACTTAGAAACCATCAGCGATCTCCATAGGTGGCTTCTTCGAGAGAGAAATAATAATGGCTTTGCAGATTTAGATGTTTCGATTGCCAATCACTTGGGTGACCGCAAATAGGAAACCAATCGATTTTCCTTAGTTTAACTCAATTAACTGATGTAGAAGCGTCCGGCGCGCATTTTGGTCGCATGCGCGTGATGTATGAGTCCTTCTGATAGGACTATCAACCAGAGATTACCACCCATACCAAGCGAGTAGAGGAGAAACTGACATGTTATCAGACTGGAAAACTTGAGGGAATAACTCAAATAAAAGCATGCATTATGATCCATGTTTTGCAACCCGTCCCGCCTATTAAGGTGATCATCAATGAAGAACATTCACTTCAGATACGCATTGTACCCATGCTGTACACCAAGACACTTGCACAGTTGTGATGGAATCCACATCAAAGATACGCAGTAGAACTCAAAGAAAAGTGTCTTAGAACCGTTTGAATTATTTGACCAGTCGGTCAGCCGGTGGACTGCACGCCGAGATCCTGAAATATGTCTCAGACTTTCGGAGTATTCTCGCCGCTGACCAAAGGGTTGACCAAAAAGTGGTGTTTGTCGCCTCTACATCGGTAAATTTATGCCGATCCAGAATGCTTGCGCACAAGAAACGCTTGCTCGTGAAAACTCCATCATCAGTCGAGTTCACATCATCAGTGCGTCAGCTGTCCAGTGCATTGGCGAATATCTACCAAACCTGAGCTACTAAGAATCACGGTCATAAAAAGCCATCAACCTGTCTTCAGATTAAGAACCAGAACTGGTCTGGTCCGCTCCGATCACTGGTTTGCTCTTATTTATCACGTGAAATGGCTCACCACGTGATCTTTGTCATGAAATTGAGTTCCAAAGTGCCGTGTAGGTGGAACTGAACGCAACCAGTTGTCTTACCGATAATGTTTTTCTGGAAGCTCCTGCGGACAATAATGAAATTTCGTACAACTTCGTTTTAGGAATCCTGGAATAAAAAGTTGCATAGCATTTTTTATCACAGTCTGGTACATTTTGGCAGAGTGATCTTGGCTGAAAGAACATTGATTGCCAATAATAATTGTGAGACGGAAAGTTCCCGCAAGTTTTAGACGCACTTCCCTTCCGACCTGCAGGAGATGATGCCTTTTTCAGTCGAATGAGAAAATACATGACTGCTCAACACAACCAATTCCTCGAGGATGTTGCCAAGTACAGCCGGATTAAGGAAATTGGTAAGTCAATGTCCGTTTTTATTCCCAACTTATGGTTGCAGAGCACAAAATACGGCTTATTTCACCTTACCAGTTCTTTTATTGGTTTGCACGAAATACGTCAAAATAGACTTATTTCTTGGTTGGACATCGTACCCTAGAAGAGTCGGAGGCCAATAGACAAGTGGACTTTTGGGAACGGGCATACAGAACGATGCATAGACAAGTTCTCCAAAAAGATGAATTGGCAAATAAACCGCAAGTCAGAAGGTGAACCAGAGTTTGATTGAGTGGCAGACTAACGAGTCACCACAATGACAGATTCCTGGTTAAAAGACCGCAGGAATGAATGAATATTCAATCAGTTCCTTGATTGACTGACTGACTGGTTTGTTAATCCATCAAACGCATTTCTGATTAGTTAGTGACCAGGCCAAACCTTCCAGTTGTGTTTTGGTACGTATCAGAGGGTCACGTTGCATGTTGCTGCCTCCTCTCCAAGGTTGATTTTTGAAAGCGTCCATAAAGCGATGAGAGGCCCAACTTTCTGGTGTTTTCTTGCTTTACTTGCCACGATCGGCTACTTTGTAGAGTGAAGTAGCCTAAATATTCGAAGCTGCCAACTGGGTTTTAGTCTATCAGTTCAACCCAGGTGCCAGACATTGATTCATTCGGTGAAGCATTTCATCTTTCGGTCCAACCAGGGAGACGTAGTGGCGGGTGCAATCGAGAAGAGGCTGTATTTTGTCAGACCTTCGCCCGGGAGGAATACATCCTCTCCCTAGATCAGCTTGTTAGGATTTATCGGCACTCAGGGAAAACCACTGAGAACATGCAAAATAGTCCGATTAATCCCAACATTTGAAGTATCGGTTGATGCAAACAGCCTTGCCAACCACCTCAGTCTAGAGCAATCCCTATAATCTCTTGGATGCAGGCTTTTCCACCTGAACGGTGGGTTCTGATTAGGTCCCACCGCTTATTCAGCACGCTGTCAGTCTTCGATAAAAACCCAAGCATTCTGTGTTGACAGAGTTGAAAAATACTGCACTTCAAATTCTCCATGGAAGGCGGCAAACCAAGCAGCGGTTTGTTGCCGACTGCTGTATCAACATTTCACAACAAGGACTTGGTGTGAATAATTGGTCAGCCAGCCCTCTTCCCGCTCAAATGCGGGAAATTCCTTCATTTTCTGAGCCGATGCAGCGGTAATATGGCTAACGTTCTGGTTACTATTCCATCAGGCTGTCCATTTTTTTAGCTGAAAGGGTTGCAAAGAAGTTCAAGAACTGCCCATGAATATGCTCTGTAAATTTGTGTCAGGGTAGTTTCATCAATTGAAGGCGGTGTTTTAATGGGCAGTGACAATAATAAACGTTTAGCTCTCATGTTTTTCGGCTATTTGCTTTTGAGAACTTGCCATGTTAAATTCGATGTTTTTGTTTAGTAAGTTCTACGGACAATCCCAAACTGAAGTCAGCATACGAAAAGTGCTTGGAAACCGTGCGGGAATACCGTAATAACCATACAAGATTGGTTACAAAGTGAGTTTAATCACGTACAAATGCGATGTTTCAAAGGTATACCATTGAACCACAGGCCGCTCGTGCTAGCAAATCAAAATCTCCCGAGGAGGTCATTGCTGCTGGAAAAGGTAAATCGTTTCCTTTACAAATAACTATCTGCTACAGCTTTGGCGAAATTTTTGCAACGGATGACGGATAATACCAAATGATTTCCTGTGAACTTCTGCCTATAAATTGTTAACTGAAAATAACAATTTATGTACTGATTTGTACGCATGTACCTAACAATAAAGTTAATGCACGGAAATCTACTCCGACCGCTGAATCGTTTTTCATGGTTGGTGTTCCCGTTGCAAAATCTCACCGACATCTTAAACTACATAAACAATTTATAGTTTTACAGCCGTGCGCCGTTCTTCGGCTCAGTGGTGAGTCAGCCCATGAACACTGGGCAACTTCGTAACCGTGTTCACTAGTTCTGACAGCCGGCAGTGGAGTAAATTGTTAGTTTTGACTGCTGGTTGACTTTTGGTCTTTTGTCTTGGTTGATACCTAAACAATACGACATCTTGAAATGTAAGCCTCATAACCCGTGACATTAACCCTCCGATTCACTGTGGGATCCTGCAAATAGGCCTATTCTATATACGCTGGGTTTCTCTTGGCTGGTTATTTGAAGGAATGGCGTGTATTTGTGCATAGTTCGGCATGCGTGTCTGTAAATGGGCCTATTTGACTTCGTGCAGACAAGGAGAAAACTCCGTTTTTTCCGGATCCTGCAAATAGGTCTATTCTATATACGCTGGGTTTCCTCTTGGCTGGATATTTGAAGGCATGGCGCGTATTTGGGCATAGTTCGGCATACGTGTCTGTAAAGGGTTCTATTTGACTTCGTGCAGACAAGAAGAAAGCTATGTTTTTTCGACATCACTGACGAATGAAAAAGCCTTTCGAATCCGCAAGTAAATAGCATAGTTCCATACAATGAAAACAGTTTAGCCCGAGGCCTAGCTACAAAAAACAGGATGGAAAGTAAGGAGATTCTTAAAGAAAAACTACTGTGCTAACTGACTCATAGCTGCCGTAATTCGAATAACGCAAGCTTCCAATAACTCAGCAGCCCCGGATCTTGCTGCATGACACAATTTTAAAAACCCGGAGGTAGCATTGAGCCCATGCCATCGAGTTCAGGGCGGATGGCAGCCGTTTCAGAATAAAATCGGGTACGCTTTTATTGACCTTAGTACATCTCACTAACTGGCACAGTCTGATAGCCGACCTTAAACATTGTCAAAAAAGGTTCTACCGCCAAATATTTTACGAGCTACGTCGAATCAGAAACTGAAAACAATTCACCTTTGACAAAGCGGTTGCTGGTGGTCTAATTTAGCATGGCCCTCATGTCAATCGCAGCGGAAATCCAGGATCAGCATGGTTTAAACGTTCCGAATAACCCTGTCTATCAGCAGCGCATTAAGGACAACTTGGTCTGAAATTGCGGTACAAATTATTCGTCGGCTTTAATCCCTACTTTAGCTACAAGTATCCACTACATGAACAGCCGAAGCGGCCAATGTCATAAAAACCGAACTGACCGACCGACTTTTAATACAATGTCAAAGAGAACCAAAGAAACAGAGGGATATTTTTTTAACTATAAGGAGGAACTTGAACATCATGTCACTCGGAGCGGAACGGAACTATAAACCTTTACGCTGAGTGTGGTCCACATTCAGTCACGTCGTTAACTTTATCACTCTTGCTTTCATTGTTTGCCCGCATTAAGTCGTGCTATCTGGGTTGTGTGTGCTAATGTGCAGGTCATCGGCGCACAACAAAAGATAGTTTTCAAATTTGCGCTGTTTATTTTTTTATTTTACTTTATTTTTCCGATCGATATTTCTGGTTAGTCTGCTTTCTTGCTGGTAGTGTTTTAATAACGAGATTTCAAGATCACCAAA